AAAACTGTACTTTTGACTTAAAATATATATTTATAATTTTAATAAATGACAAATTAAAAAGGCATGAACATTTTTTTTGTATCGAAAAAATATCGAACCTTGACACCAAAGTATCGAACCGAACCAAACCGTGATTTTTGTGTATCGTTGCACCCCTAGTAAACAGTTTATTTTGCAACACCACAAAACAAACAATAGTGTATAATATGAAACAATAGACATTTTTATATTGTCATCTGACATATATATCGTCATATCGCACAGCCCTAATCCTTCTTTTGTTTATGTTGTTTATGTTCTGGGTAAAAAAAATATAAAAATACAAACTTTTTAAAAAAGTCTTGTTGTTTCTCTTTTTTCCTCATAATAAATTGCGACTAGTCTCAATGGCTGACATGGAGGAGCAACACAGCGAAACGTTAACCCCAACTGCTGCAGTTCCTGTATGAACTGAGCAACTCTGAAAATCCAAGGAAAAGCTGAGTGTATTTTACTTAAAGCTCAGATGGACCTTGATGTACTAACATGCAGGCTGCATTCAGGACTTTGTCACACTGGTATATGAAGAGTGGTAACAAGACTTTGTCTTACTATTGTTGTTACTATTGTTGTTATTTGTTGTGATTTAGGGTCTGTGAACACAAGCAGAAGCACAAGCACGGTTTTTGTTTGTAACCGTAACCTTGTTTTCAGAGTCTTGTTTAACATTTAATGGTCATGAAATATGTCAGACTTTTTCTTCTACTTAAACAGCTGAGAGCATTTGAACACAGCGGAGGAAAAGGTGTGCATTAAGGATTTTGAACTATGATGTTTAAGTGTTGTCACTGCTGAGGATTCGTGGACACAGATCCTTATTCACTATGCTGCTGTTTACAGTTTAACTTTTCATCAGAACAAGCACTTCTAATTATACTTTGCTCCTCGCTGACAAAACAAGTCCAGTAAATACACTTTTATCTTTAAGTTTGGGACAGTAATCTGTCTTAATTTATTATGTGTTGTAGTTATCATATGGGGAAAAGTCCTGTGGTTATCCATCCGTACTGTTCGAATAAACCCAAAGTTCAGGAACATCTTCTTTAGATCTGTTCAGTTTTATTCATGTAGCACCACTTAAACAGTCAACAGAGCTGGTCAGACAAATGTTCACACAAATGTGAACAAAGGTGTTTGGCTATAACTGACTACATGTGTATACTGTATCATAAGTGGACAGACATGGATGTAAACCACACCTTAACCATTTGGCTGAGGCAAAACTACCACAAGGCAGTGATTCTAACTAAAAGGTACTCTGGATATTATTAAATGTGAACATGTCGTTAAATATGACATTTTTGTTTGTCAGGTGTCCTGTTTGAAGAAAACACTTGGTAGCCACTTGAATGAATGTAAAGAAACACATTTACATG